TGTAAAACCTAACCCTGTATTATTAGTCTGTCATCCACCCACACCTAATTACCACTTACAGCAGGGATGGACAGCTCTGATTCCCAGGGACTGCAGGGGATTTACATTATGGATCTTAATTGCTTGATTGAACTAACGATTTGAGTACAGACAAAGTCTAATCATCCACTTTTGTTGTTTAGATCCTAATCAGTTGCTAATTGAAAAATACTTATAGTACTTTTTTATTCCTTTAGAGAATTTATGGAATTTGACCCATCAGGGCTAGAAGCTGTTATCCCTGACCTTGGGGTCATCTCATTCTTTAGCTGAAAGCAAATCTTTTGGCTTTTTTCCATGTATATTTCCTCCATCAAGGACTGCATGAGTTCTCTGCCTTGAGCATGCAAGAGCTTTTCAGTGGCAGAATAATTTCAAACAACTGGATTTAAATGTCATAAAATACAATAATGAAAACACAGTGAAGGGAGGACTGACATGGAAGACTCAAAAGAGAATGATGTACTTTAAAAGGCAAAGTATACCTGAAGCATATTGAAATCCCTCTTACCAATTCAAAGACAACTGACTTATAAATGGGATTCCAAGATCACAGAATCACAGACAGGCCTGCAGAGATGTTCTGAGGGCACCTCAATATTGTAATATCACAAAAAATCCAATTCACAAAGTTGGTTATGAAAAATAAAAGGCAGATCTAGGACATGCTGTTCATTTGTGATTTTTTTATACTCTAATGCACCATGAGTCTTGTCTTTTTTCTTTAAAAAAATTCAAAGTTAAGATGTACTCTCTCAAAAAGAATGATTGACAGAAACAAACAGTTCTAATGTCAGCATATCAACCATCTCAGAATGAAATGAAATCATGATTGAGATGTTTACAAAGCAGAGTCAGAATAAGGGCTTTGCTGAAAATTCCCAACAGCAAAACATGTTAAAACATATTTTATAGCACCTCTGCAAACAAGGCGGTTCTCTGTACTCAGACTAAAACACATTAAATGTAAAAGTGCAAAATTACAAAAGGATCATTTAATACTCTAGAGTAGAGAAAAGCCTATATAACATCCCATACATCTGTTTTCAGATTCTGATTTTGTATTTTTATTTTTTCTAGAGAACTATTCATAATATGTAAACTGTATGTATTTCTCTGCAGCATTATAGTCTCATAATATAGTAGGTGCACACATTACTGTAAATCTACTTTATATTACAGATGGCCATCAATCTGGGTGGTATTTTCAGGTAAACAGAAATAGCTCAACACAAGAAAAACAAGCTTTTCCATTCCCAAACATTTAGGTAAAACAAAGAGTAATCATGCTGATTACTCAAGACCATGCTCTCAGACACTGTCTTTTAAATAACAAACGTGAGCAGGTTGCTTGTACAATTTTCTGAGTCTTTCCAGAAATGCCTAACCCACTCCCAAAACCTCTCTTCATAATAAGGTTGAGTGCTTCTTCAACCTTTTCCTGACTTAAGCTGCTAGAGCTGTTCATTATTGGCCAGGCTGGTGTTCCTATGTTGGCCTACAGCCGAGCGACAGCTCCTTTTTCTTTATGTAGAAATAGAAGCTCCCAGCAGAGAATTGTTCAAACTACTGTGTCCAAGCGGAACAAATCAACATGATTAGTCATGGAGAATCTGGTAGATCTGGAGCTCTGTGGCATGCCTGCATGTAATATTATTTCTTCCTGAAATAAATATGGCAGCATTCCTGAAGCCTGACTAGGGATGTAACTTGTGTACTCCAGTTTGGACAGTTCCAAGATGAGAATGAATGTGTGTGAAAGTGATATATTTTACAAGTCTAAATAATGACCTCACTTATATTTCTCTTTTACTATTTGTAAGAACTTTAAAGAAACTGGTCCTGTTGTACTTGTACTACTGCCCTTTTCAACACTGGCTAGGGAATGGAAATACAGTGCCCTCCAGACGATCTATCCTGTTGATGAGACAGGGACAAGGAAATATTATATACTGTAATAGAGTTGAATGTCCTGCCATGACATATTGTAGTTTTAATAGCTTTGCACGGAGCAGTCATCCATCCCTCCATTTTCTAACTTCTTCATCTAATACAAGGTCGTGGGGGATCCAGAGCTTATCTTGGCAAGCAGTGGGCACAAGGGCACAAGGCAGGATAAACCCTGGATGGTTTGCCAGTCCCTCACAGGGCACACACACTGACACCGGGCTATCGGTATATCTGTGGACTATGGGAAGATCACCACCCAAAGGAAACCCACATGAAAACGGGGAGAACACTTTGATAGAACTCTAGGTCTAGAATTAAACCCAGGGCCCCAGCGCTGTGAGGCAGTGATGCTAACCACTGCACCACTGTGCTGACCTAGAGCTATCATTTTCATCAGAATTTAGCTGCAGAAAGCAGAAGGGTCAAACTGTTACACATGGTTGGTACAGTAATTTGGATGCTGGAAACCCTACTCCCCTATTGTGTGCTTTAAGGTTGTGGCACTCAGAGAGGGGATTGTTCTCTCAGACCCACATTTCCATTTGTGAACTACTGTTTAGTATTTTCAGAATGTGCAGCAACTTTTCGATAATACCTAGTCCATAACTCATTGGTCATACTGTATTTCAGGTATGAATAAATTTGGAGCACCTTTTATTCCTTAAAAATAAAAAAGGCAATCTATGTTCATATTGTATAAGTCCATGGTTGTAGCCTGGACAAACTTGGATACAGTACATTCAAATCATTTTTTCTTATTCATAATGTTGAGCGTTTTTTAAACTTCTAAAATATTGTGGCACTGAAAATATACTTTGCCAGATAAAAGATACAGAACCTACTGGTTTACTGCTGTTGATAAATCTAGAATTTGGAGCCTTGTGCTTTTCTATATGTAGTGCAAGTCTAAAAGAAGGCTGAAAGATAGCTACTCCACATTTTCAAAGCATGTGACTAAAATGCATGTCTGGACTGCAGCATTTTCAACACACTCTTGATTTTATATTTGACACTGAGCAAAGTCAGGTCATCATAAACCGTTATACTTTAGGTCAAGCACTACCAGCCACCTAAAGCTTTGTTTGTAATCGTTTTGCTCTTTTGTTATATCTCCCCAGTATTTATCAGGCTTATTTCGATACTTATGGCAAATGAATTTCAAATTTCAAATATGGCTTTACATTTTTACACATTTGGCTCTATATTGTAAAGGTTTACTGTCAGGGCTTAAAAACATTAAAACTGTATGCCAGGTTAGTTAGGTTCTGCATTAATTACACACATGCAAAATCCCATGAAGAACTTCCACCTGCTGCTTCAACAAATGTCCACCCACACTGCCCACAGAGCAGCGGTGATTAGGGAGAGAGAGTGCTATAAATATTTCTGGGATTTAACATATATTGTAACAATAGTAGTTACTGAAAAACAAAGAAAACATAATCCTAAAAAGTCTCAAAATGTGAACAACAATTTGCAGTTGTTTTAAAGATAGAATTTACAATTTTTGCTTTGTAATAAATTAACTGCTTCACTTTGAAATAAAAAGAAAGCATATTGTATGTGTTAACAATTTGGTTTTGCTGATACACCTGTTAAATCGTTATTTGATGCAAGTTCAGTGATTGTATTTACACAACAACTCTTAACCCTGAACTGACATTTTTCAAACAACCAAGGTCTTTTTCAGAGAACGAATACAGCATTATCTATAGCTTCAGATGCTGCATGACTGGGAGTGGGAGAATTAACTAAGAAATTATTTCAGTATTTGACTTATTTCAGTGACACTTCTGACTTCCAACGAAATAAAAAATCTATCAAGGGTTCTTTAAGATGCCCCTGGACTTTTATTTTACAAACGGACAATTTTCTTCAAAAAAGACTAACTATGTCTCAATAATTCCAGTTTCTATGGTGTGGACACTGGTTATGCTCTCTGGTACGTACAGTACTGTCACTATCCAGGAAAGGTTATACACCATGGTCAAATTGTCATGTTTATACAGTATTTCACTTGAAAAGGCCAACTAACTACATATGCATTATAAGCATGAAGTATTAAACCCTTCCAAATAAGTTTTCTTTACTGTTTTTCTATGGTGTGGACACTGGTTATGCTCTCTGGTACGTACAGTACTGTCACTATCCAGGAAAGGTTATACACCATGGTCAAATTGTCATGTTTATACAGTATTTCACTTGAAAAGGCCAACTAACTACATATGCATTATAAGCATGAAGTATTAAACCCTTCCAAATAAGTTTTCTTTACTGTTTATGGCAGGTACATGCAAAGTTCAAGCAATTAATTATTGTACTACACAGATAATATTTTGAATGGATGTGAGTACAGAAATTAGGACATTTGCACAATGCCATAAAAATGTAATCTTTCAAAACAAAGTTCAAGAGGACAGACCTTTCCTAATGAGCTGATTCAGGCTGTAAATATTAAGACGCCATGTTTTGAGTGTGTACAGTTTTCAAAATAATCCAAGATTTTAATTTGCTATTCCTAGTACTCTGTATTTATGCAAAAGCTACGTTTTTATAATATTTACCATCTACTTAAGGCAGGATTACAGCTCTCTGGGGGAGTGAAATGGGTTATGGAAAGATGCCCGGTCTTAAGAAGATATTGTAGACATTTCAGGCATCAGAGAAAAGCCAGAAACACCAGACCAACAGCTGCCAACAGTCCCTGGACATTTCTGATATAATTCTAATTTATGACTATCCCACAACCCTTTGAGGGAAGAAGTGCTTCCTTTTCTCAATTTTAAAGCTAATTTTCCTTAGACTTGCCAAACAAAATATTAATAATACCCTAAATGTAAAGGAGTCAGAATGAAAGAGACTTTGGTATACAATTTTGACACTAACATTGATAAGTGGGGTAGACTGGTTCCTATCGGGTTAGGTCTTACTTGTTTTCCACCAGGCGTAATATTCAGCAGCTTAAGTGCTTATACATATGTTTGAAAGTATACAGAGCACTATGCACCTACCAGTCTGCCACCAGTGATCCAGGACAGGCACCTTGAATATCTTCTTAGCCCAATCCAAAGTCTCCACATCACAGCGTTCACCAGCAACAAACAGAGTTCGCATTCTGAGACAGAGACCAATATGATATTAGAAACAGATTATGCAATCGTTTACAATGTTGTATTACAGCACATGTACAGTACGCTTTATAAATATGAGTTACGGTATTTCAAAATATAATGCACTTTTTTGTTTCATATCGGAAGACTATTGCTATTAACCTTGTTTTTATCATACAGTATGCTTCTCCAACCTAAGAAAATCGGTGAAATTTTAGAGATTACATACAGACTGCAATTTCTATGGTGTCTGCCGTCCCTCTCTATGCTGAATTGACATACTAGGCTGGGAAGTCACACTATGCACCATTTTCTCCACAGCCACACTAACATAGATTCAAATCTGATACTCAAATGATAAAATTATGTATAAAAACTGTCACAACCTCATAGAGAAACAAAGGAAAAAAATCTATATTTTATTCAAAAGACTCAAAAATGAAAAACATGTTCCATCCCTTACTGATTTCCATAAATTGAAGTATAAGTATTTAGGCCCAAAATGAATTTATTCTGTAATAAAACACCAGATTTCAAGGATGATGTGCTTTAGGAATTGAACACAAATTTCTATACTGATCACCCACCTGACATAACATAGCTTAAGTCATTCGTCTGATTAACCCTTGTCACCAATGGAGATGATTAATCGCGTTTTGACAGTAGAAGTCATAGGTTAATGGCATTTGAAGACACCACCGGACAAAAAACAGGTTGTACATATGCAACATGTTTTGCTCCAGGATGCAGGCGCTGTCTTGTGGAATTATCCACAATCTTCTAGAAGATCCCATAGTCCCAACATACATGGTGTTACATACATACATTGGGCATACACAGTCCCAACTCATCTCATAAAGGTGCAGTGGGGCTCAGGTCTGGCGTTTAAGGTATCTATGGCATTATTGTCACATTCTCATCTTCACATGAAAGTCACTGTTACATGAGCATCATGAAAATATTGATTTTCCTGGTGCAATGTTGTCATGTCAAGATGAGCTCACATGAAGTGCAGCAAGTGAAGTCCATAGACTTCATCGATATACTGTATGAAATTTGTTCAAGAGAATTTCCTTCCAGTGCTGGTGAGTCCACCTACAGTGATTTAGTCTGTCCTCCAACATATCAGTGGCACAGAGGCATTGTTCTCCTGATATGTTGGGTATATTCATTCCTTTCTATGTAAGACTTTCATGATTTTCACCAGGCTTGACATTCAACATCTTAAATCACGCCATCAGCTTTGGCCAATAGATACAACTCTCTCACTAATTAGGTGATCAGTGCTTATGTAACTAAGTCACATGTATCATGGTCAGTCAATGATCAATTTAATCTAAATTAAAACAGAGAACACTGGATAATACAATGTACAGATTAGTAAGAAAAAAAATCTACACACACTGTGTTAGATTCTCTACACATACAAGCTGCATACATGTTTTCAAGAGTGTGTCAGTCAATCGAATATGTGCTGCTGGTGTCTTTCTTCATTTATCCACGTGTCTAGATTGCCAGCAACTTTGACATGGGAATTCAGAATGACTTGTATAAAGCTTTTGTGTATATTCAATTCAAGCTTTATTGTCCCCTAGGGGAAATATGTTTTACGGCTCAGTCAAACACAACACAATGACAAATACACATCATCGAAACGGAAGAGAATACAGTAGTGTTACAGGAGAAAAGAAACAAGAGACAAGGTAGTTACTTTGCATTGTTTAAGAGCGTAATTGCAGTGGGAATAAAAGAGTCTGTTGGTTTTACACCTGGGGGCACAGATGCGTCTCCCAGATGGGAGAAGTGTGAATTCACAATGGAGGGGGTGAGACACACACTCCATGATGCTTTTGGCTTTCTTAGTCATCCTCTGTTTGTAAAGGATGCTTAAGTTGATTTGATTATTCCTGATTATTTTGCCACTTATATTCACTAATTTACCCAGCCTAATACAATTACTGGTACTTATGTTGCCAAACTAACAAGTGAAGAAGTATGTTACTACACTTTCAATTAATAATTTATAGAAAAGTGTAAGGATTGTTTTATCTACCTTAAAGTAGCTGGGTTTTCTAAGAAAGAAGAGTCTCTGTTGGCCTTTTTTATAGATAGTGTCACAACATTTGTCCCATTTTAGGTTTTAGGTGTCAATGACCAGTCCTCAGTACTTATAGTCATCGACAATTTCAATAGGCTGAGCATCAACTGTAGTGGGTTGAGGGGGTGTGGTATTTTTCCTAAAATCAATAACCAGTTCCTTTGTTTTTGAGACATTTAACTTTAGGGAGAACTCGTTGCACCAGTTAGTAAAATCATTTAGAATGGGCCCATGATGGTATTCTGTGTCCTTTAATAAACTGACCAGGGCTGTGTCATCAGCAAACTGAGTGAGATGTCTATCTGTGTGTTTGCTTATGCAATCATTAGTGTACAAAATGTACAGCAGAGGGGACAAGACACAGCCCTGTGGTGATCCAACTGATGTGTAGTGAATGTCAGATTAGCACTTCCCCAATTTGACCTGTTGAGACCTGTTAGTTAGGAGGTCTAGCACCCACCCTATCAAGTTCTCATTCCGATTGAAGTACTTTGAGATTTTCTGTGCAAGCAACAGTGTTTGTATTGTGTTGAAAAGAATAGTCAACAAATAAAATACTTACAAAGGTCCCTGGTTGGTCCAGATGTTGATAGACCAGATTTAACCATGTGTGAACTACATCGTCTACTCCCCTCCTTTCCCTATATGCAAACTGCAGGGGGTCGATGAGGGCTTGTGTGCTCTTTGTGATGTGTTGTTTCGCTATTCTCTCAAGAGTATTCATAGGGAGAGATGTGAAGGATTGTGTTAAGGCCATTCGGCTTGGCAGTTTTAGGAATAGGAATAAAGATGGATCTGCCAGCAGCCATATCACCCTGCAACTCACAACTGGCAACCCACTGAAGCTAAGCAGCTGTGAGCCTGGACAGTACCTGGATGGGAGACCTCCTGGGAAAAACTAAGGTTGCTGCTGGATGAGGTGTTAGTGGGGCCAGCAGGGGGCGCTCACCCTGCGGTCTGTGTGGGTCCTAATGCCCCAGTACAGTGACGGGGACACTTTACAGTAAACAGGCGCCGTCCTTCAGATGAGATGTAAAACCTCTCTGTGGTCATTAAAAATCCCAATCATGGCCTCCTAATAATCCCCATCTATGAATTGGCTTCATTACTCTGCTCTCCTCCCCACTAATAGCTGATGTGTGGTGAGCGTTCTGGCGCACCATGGCTGCCATCGCATCATCCAGGTGGATGCTGCACAGTGGTGGAGGGGAGTCCCCATTACCTGTCCCCCATTAGTGCCAGAAAAGCGCTATATAAGTGTAAGCAATTATAATTATTATTATTATTATTACTACTATTACTATTTCTTCCACAGAGAGGGAATGATCTGTAAGTTTAAGGACATCTGGAATAGAAAACTAAAAATATCATAAAGCTGATCTGCTCAAGATTGTAGGACCCTACCACACACATTATCTGGACCTGCACTTTTCGTAATATTGATTTTCCTAAAACGTGTACGTACCTCTGCTGTGTCAATTTTAAAGAAAGCCTCTCCTGATACAGGGATAATAGCACTGTGAGCTGAAGTGGTTATAGATTTCAACTCAAAGCAGGTATAAAACACATTCAGATCATTGGTCAGCTGTTGCCCGTCCATACCATTTAACAGAGGTACAGTGCTGCCACTACACTTCTGAGGGATATTGGCCATGCTTTTAATGCCCTGCCATGTCATCCTGGTGTCACCTGTTGTCATGGTGTTCTCTATTTTTACCCTATACTGTTCCTTAGCTTTCCTGATCTCCCTTTTCACCTCTCTCTGCACTTCCTTCCTGAGCTGGATGTCCTCTTGAGAAAAAGCTTGTTTCTTTTTTAGGAGGACAAGATTAAGGCTTTTTGTTACCCGGGGTTTGTTATTGGGAAAAGCCTTAAAGTTTTTGGTAGGGATGATGGAGTCGACGCAGAGAGAAATATAATCTGATACCACAACAGCGAGTTCGTGACTGTATTTTGATGTGTTTTTAAACAAGTCCCATCGTGTGCAGTCAAAGCAATCCCGAAGCCATTCAGTGCTCTCCGAGTCCCAGACTTTTACTGTCCCCAGTTTGAGCCTCTTGAACAGCGGCTGGTAGATCGGCCTGAGAAGCACAGTGTTGTGGTCGGAGTATACAATATATACGTGGATATATAGATCATATACTGTGACTGCACAGGCACCAAAACATGTAATCAATATCCAGAATGGGTATATTTTATTTTCCTAAAAGCATGTACACACAATTATAAGCTTCTTTTCATGCTCACTATAATACATATATTGAAAATAAACAAATTCAAGAACTATACAGTATATGCAATGCCTCCAGTAAATACCTCTGTACTAACTATAGTATTTCCAGCCATCCATTTTCAAACTGCTTTTTCCAATACAGGGTCACGGAGTGTGCTGGACCCTATGCCGTCAAGCAACTGGGGGCAAGACAGGGTACACCCTGGAGGGGATACCAGTCCATCACAGGGTACACAGACACAAACACACACACACTCACACCAGGGCCAGTTTTCCCTACGAGAAGACGATTAACCTACCAGCATGCCTTTGGACTGTGGGAGGAACCCACAGCGCACCCTGAGAAAACCCATGTGAACACAGGGAGAAAATATAAACTCCCCACAGATAGCACCCATGTTCAAAATTGGCCCCAGGGCCCCAGTATGAGCAACAACGTTAACCAATGCACCACCATGCTGCTACTACTGTTTGTGCTACTGTTTCATTTTTTTAAATAATTCTGCATTTTTCTGTTTTGCCAATTTCTCTTAGCTTCTCAATTCTGCATTTCAAAACCTCTTATTTGCAAGTTAACATGATTTATTTTCCTCAAACAGGCATCTGACATATAATTGGCTTTGCCTCATTATGCCCTTGTTGAATTTTAAATGAGATATAGTGCACCAGATGCA